AGATTAAAAGTTTTCAGTTTTTATTTTAACACTTGTTTTTACCTGATCCTATTCCTATATATATATATATATATATATATATATATATATATATATATATATATATATATATATATATATATATATATATATATATATATATATATATATATATATATATATATATATATATATCTTTCTTTTTTTTTTTTTTTTGCATTCGCACCAGTAATTAATTAAAGAACTAATCAATTACTTGTTAAATTTGCAGCCTTTAATTTGAGTATTTGTCAAATTCGCAATCTTGGCAAAGTTACACCAGTAATCAAAGGTAATTGTACCAAATTCTGGCCTCTTTACTACTCATATTCATGTTAATATAACCACAATCAATCGTGATTATTATTCATTGTTTAATACAATATGAGAGTGTAATTTTTTTGTTTTGCGGGTTCTCCACCAAGGTCAACCACAATTATATTGTGATACTACCTGCATATGTGTGATGTACACGTATAAATACATCTTCTTTTTTTTTTTTTTTTGTATATTTGTATATGCATATGTGTTTGTTCTTTATAGCGCTAGGCATATGACAGATTCGCAAGGTAGCCATACGTTGCCGCCCATGTCGCGATGGGTCAGGACTCTTTGTTATGAACCCATCGGGGATGTCAAGTCATGTATGCCAGTCGTTATGAGCTTGACATCTTAAGACTGTCCGGATAACTTGAAGACTTGAAGTCTCCCTTGTCGCGATGAGTCAGGACCCTTTGTTATGACCTCATCGGAGACGTCAAGTCATGTATGCCAGTCGTTATGAACTTGGCGTCTTTAAGACAGGTCTGATAACTTGAAGACTTGAGTCGCCCATGTCGCGATGGGTCAGGACTCTTTGTTATGAACCCATCAGAGATGTCAAGTCATGTATGCCAACCGTTATGAACTTGACATCTTAAGACTGGCCTACTCGAAATTCCAATACCAGATTGCCTTCATGACATACTCATTATACATGTGCCATGTCAAACACTCTAACCTTTTTTTTTTTTTAAGTCTTTGATCATGGACAAGGTGCACGTAGTGGAATTCAATGAGGGTTCTCGATCCTATCTTTCTCTCGTCGACCAAGAGGATGACAACCCCAAGACTGGCACGCGTCTACAAATTCGGCAATCATTGCGGCGGCCTAATGGCATGCAAACAAGTATTTGTAAGCAAAATTTCCGCAGTCACATGTCTGTTGAGATTGCTAATGTCTCCGACACCACAAAGGTTTACAAGCTCCAAGACACCCTTCAGAGTAGACCTGCAACAGATAACTTACTTCCCTTATTGGGTCATTCCATTATTGAAGGGTCTGTGAGATGGGGATCCGCTGTTCTAAAGATGTATGGTGAATCATGCTTCATCCTAGGCTATCGAGAGTGGACTGAGGACGTTCTCTGTCACTCGAGGGAAAATCTGAAATCCGCATTAATCTACAATGTTGTCTATGCCTCACTTTACTCCTATGACAAAAATTCGCATATTTTACGAGCATTGTGTGAGAGTTGGTGCCCTACCACAAACACACTCCATACAATGGCAGGAGAGTGGTCCATTTCACTGTGGGATTTGCACAGACTTGGTGGCTTACCCATTTATGGGGAAATTTATGATGAGATTGTCCCTCATTTTGCGACCCTAACAGCAACAAATGAAGACAACAAACAGTACATTTCGAAGGCTTGTGAGCATTTGTTTGTTGCTTATCATTGCCTTTACAAAGAATCGGGCTCAAGGAAGGAGGTTTCAGCCAAATAATGGATTAGATTTTGGTACCAGAAGAAAATTCGCTATGCTGCGCCGCCAAAAAGGACAAGATATCTCTTGACTCCTCCACAATCTACACATGACCCTGACGGAACGTTACCAGACGTACCTACAGCGTGGAAAAATGAAGAATTATCCATGTTTAAGCGTTTAGGCCTTCCCGACAACAATAGAAGGGGAATAACCTATAGTGCTGCTTTCTTGTCTTGTTGGTTATGCGCATTTGTACTTCCATGGTGTGATAGTAGATAGATAAGACCCGCGACATTTGAGATCGCAACCTTGATGGCTTGTGGTAAACCGTTCAGCTTGGCAGTTCCTATCCTAGGAAGCATTTATCATGGTCTGAACAACATTTCGAGGTCTCCCAAGCCTTCTTATTCTGGCTCATTCTTCCGGGCTCATTACTTGTATAGTTGGCTCGCATACTATTTCGGAACTCATCACAATCTGGATTTAGCTCTCCCAGGCCCTTTAATGACTGTATTCTCGAGCTCCCAAAGTTCAAAGCTTTTTAAGGATAAAGAAGCACAAGATTTGATACATGAAGGGACCACAACAAGGGTTGGGTGTACCGTGCCGAATAAGAACAAGAACATCGCTTTTTTGATGATGGGAAGCTCGAGATTCCCCAGTTTGGCTACCTCATCTCCCTTCGCTCTAGCTACATTCCTGTACGCTCCGGTGACAAATTTTTCATAGAGCCTTACAATCCTCATCGATTTGGTAGACAATTTGGGTTTTGTCAAGATGTTCCCGGTATGCTTACGCGTGCCATGGATGATCGTCAATCTGTAGGCTATTAGCTCTTTGGCATTGGGACTTGATTTTGTTTTGTGGCAGTAAATCCCAAGTGTTGACTCCTTGTCTTCCTCTGAATTGGCGTGACCTTGTAACTCGAGCTTTTCGGTCTTGGTGGTCTAAAGTGACATCTAATGACCTTAGAGACAAGGTTGACGTTCTTTGCGCAAGTATTGAAACTGATCCCAACAAGTCTAGGAAGAGCCAGGAACATGCTGGTGACACAAGTGCTCCTCGACCGAAGACCAATGCTGGTGGTAAAAGGAGTCATGAGCCTCTGTCCAGACAAGGCAACTCTAAATCGATGACGGCTAAAGATGTCAGCCAAGGAGGAAGCTCTAGTGACGGAGAATCTGACGTCAACTACAAGCATAAACGTAGGAGTAAGAGGCGATCAGACGTTGTTGATGAAGAGGACATCGTTTTAAATGATGCAGACTCCTTTGGCGATCTTCAAGATTTTCCTATCGTTCCTACTAACATACCGCTTGTAAGTATTTGATACTCTTTTTTTTATTTATTTTTTTATTTATTTTTTTTTACATTGATTTTTTTTAGGATGATCAAGACTTTGAGAGTGTCACCCTGAATTCTTAGAGGCTGAAGCTATTTTACCTTTACCGAGACCAACTGCTGGCAAGGGGAAAGCAATAAGGATCTCCACGAATAAAGTTTGTGACAATTCTCCCAGTTTACCAAGGAAGGAAATACAGTCTCCTACTCAAAGCCTAAAGTCAGTAGATGGTCCTCATTCTCTTGAGCTTGCCTCCAACGCTTTGGAGGTTCGACAGTCAGTTGGTGATGACCGTACAGCTTCATCTCAACGTGTTTGCGCTCCTACTGTGTCTACAAACACATTTCGACCAAGCCCCTTCTCTAGTTTTATTTTTGCTGATGCAAATAAAACACATAGGCGCTCAATACTTGGCAATGTTGCAAGCGTCACCTTATTCGGAGGTACCCAAAAGGTTTGAAGAAGCATCTATGGTGTATCGAGGTATACAGAACCTCAAGGGTGACCCGGCTCCGCTGAAGCGTAAAGTTGAGTCTTATGTTTGTTCAGTCAAATCCTACCTTGCTTTGGAGGAGGCTGCAGCGAAACGACAAAGATCTGAACAAGTGACAAGAGACATACTTGCTCAATCTGAGTTTCTCAAGCAAGCGGAGTCCAACCTTGCTATTGAGCAGAAAAGGCAAGAGCAATTGAAGGAACAAGATGCCTTAGTCACAAAAAGAGTAGAAGACCTTGAAGCTGAATTGACGAAAGCTTGCGAAGAGAAGAATCGTCTAACAGATGACTTAATGGCTAGCAAAGGATCTATCACATCAATTGAAGAACAAATGAACGTTGCGAAGCAGATTTTGGACGACTTACATGCAACTCCTATTCTGAGTGCTGATGAGATAGTCCAATTGGAGCAACAGAAAGTTCAACTTCAAGAGCTTCAGTCAATGCTTAAACCTTCTGAGTGGATAGATTGATAATAGACTACCCCTCTTTTTTTTATTTTTTTTTATGGTTTAGCAGTTGAACAACACTACTTTTTTTTGACATTTTTTTTTTAATTTTATTTTGCTCTTGATATTTTATTTTATTCATTCTATCATTTGAAATTATTTCATTATTATTTCGACGTACACAGTTTATACTCTTGCGGGCCAGGAGTAGGGATTTTTTTTTTGTTTAGCCGTACACAGTTTATACTCTTGCGGGCCAGGAGTAGTACAATAATGATGATTTTTTTTTTGATGTGGCTGCACTTGATTTTTTTTTTTTTTATTTTTTTTTAAGGTGCCTACGTACTTGCTAAATAAACGGGTTATCTTGCAAGATCAAGCCAACGTAGTTCAAACAATGCTTTATTTTTTTTTTATTTTTTATTTTTTTATTTTTTGTAAGTAGTTTATCCTCTTACTTGGGAGTTTACAAGGCTTTCACTTCATGAATAGTAGCGCTTTAAAAACTTGCCATTAATTGGACCTACGCGCAATCCCTCAGCATCTACAATTTTGTATGCTCCATTAGTGTAGACTTCTCGTACCACATAAGGACCATCCCATTTTGATGTGAACTTATTTCCAGTTTTGCGCGAAGTAATGATAGGCCTTTTCACTGCCAAGACCATGTCTCCCACTTGAAAAGAACGAGGTCGAACCTTTTTGTTGAATGCACGTGTCATACGAGCTTAATATCATTGCAATTTCTGTTGAGCTTGTAATCTTTTCTCATCAAGTGCTTCAAGCTCAGCCAATCGAAGCTTGTCATTTTCATCCCTAGTTAAATCCTCTTGAATGGCAATTCTTAGTGATGGAATTTGAACTTCTAAGGGTAGGTCAGCCTCAACACCATACACCAACGAATATGGGGTAGATTGTGTTGCATTCTTGTATGTCGTCCTATATGCTCAAAGTGCTTCCCCTATCTTTTCATGCAAGTCACGCTTAGACTTTGCAACGAACTTGCTTAGAAAATTACAAAGCGTTTTGTTAAATGCTTCAGCTAGACCATTTGCAAAAGCATTGTACATGGATGACTTATGTTGCGTGAACTTGAAATTTTGGCAAAGGCTATCCATCAAGTTGTTGGCGAATGGCTTTCCATTGTCAGTGACAATTCTTTGAGGAATTCCATACCTATAAATGATATGGGTGCAAATGAAATCGACAACATTTTCTTTTTTCACCTCACGAAGGGGAATAGCTTCAGCACACTTAGAAAAGTAATCAATGGCAGCCAGTATATAAGCGTGACCACCAGATGACGTTGGTGTGATCGGACCAACCACGTCAAGACCCCGTCCCTCGAATGGCCATGATGTCACAGTTGGATGTAGTGGTTTCGGAGGCTGGTGAATGAAGTTTACATGAAATTGACATGCTTCACACTTTTTAACAAACTCTATGCAATCTTGAACCATTGAGGGCCAATAATACCCCGCCCTTTTGATACGATCATGAAGCTTAGGACCAGATTGATGAGCTCCACAAATCCCTGAATGAAATTCCTCTATTGTTTTGGCTGCCTCTTCGTCTTCTAGACATCTCCACCATAGCTTGTCAAAATATCGTCTATAAAGAGTCCCTTTGAAGAGAATAAAACGAGAGGCTCGACGACGGATTTATGTTCGATGTCGTGGATCATTAGGCAGCTTTTGGTGCTCCAAATAGTCGATGATTGGTTGACGCCAGTCTTCTTTGTCAATTTGGCAGACAGTGATCATGTCGACCTCCTCGACCTCGTCATCTTCAACTTCATATTCTTCCAATGCAACTACCCAACGATTGCAAACAGGCACATACATGATTTCCTCTGCCCCCAGTGCCAAAGTGGCTGCGAGACCAGCAAGCGCGTCAGCCATCTTGTTGGCACTCCTTGGAACATGGCTTAGCTTGACAATGTCAAACTTGTCGAGAAATCTTGATGCATGTTTGTGATAAGGAATTAAATCCTCTTTCTTGACCTCATATTTGCCTAAAAGTTGACTTATGACGAGTTGCGAATCTCCATAAACATCAAGATCTTGAATTTCCATTTCAACCACCATTTGAAGACCCATAATAAGAGCTTGGTACTCAGCCATGTTGTTTGAGCACAACTGAGTTAGCACAAATGAGTAAGGTAAAACATGCTTTTCTGGCGACACAAAGACTACCCCTGCTCCTACGCCGTCTTGACGAGCAGCCCCGTCAAAATACATTTTCCATGGTGGTAGTATTTCGATGTTAAACACATCTTCTCCAGGCAAATCAACGGACATCTCCCATTCAGGTGGTACTGGTTGGTCGGCAAAGAAATCAGCGATGGCTTGTCCTTTGACAGACTTTTGTGGTACGAACATTATATCGTACTGTTTGATGTGTACAACCCATTTAGCTAGTCTTCCTGACAACACTGGTCATGAGAGGATGTACTTGGTTGGGTCGGCTTTTGAGACGACATGGACTGTATGAGCTTGCATGTAATGCTTCAACTTTTAAATGGCAAAAATTAACGCAAGACAAAATTTTTCAATTGGTGAATAATTCAGCTCAGCACCCACCAACGTTCGACTCAAGTAATAAAGAGCTATATCCTTGTGATCTTCAATTTCTTGAGCACACATTGCCCCCAATGATCTTTCTTGAGTAGCTATGTAAAGGATTAGAGGTTTTCCTTTAACTGGTGCCCCCAAAACCGGCGGAGAGGACAAATACTTCTTTATATTGTCGAACGCTTTTTGACATGACTCATCCCATTTGAATGGAGCATCCTTTTTCATGAGATGACTAAATGGTTGACACCTGCCTGCAAGATTGGAGATGAACCTCCGAATATATGCAAGGCACCATTGAAGACCGCGAAGTTCTTTGAGATTTCGTGGTACAGGCATTTCTTGAATTGCCTTAATTTTGGTTTGGTCAATTTCAATTTCCCTATGTTTTACGATGAAACCTAAAAATTTTCCAGAGGTAACACCGAACGCACATTTGAGAGGATTCATTTTCAATTGACATTTGCGTAGTCTTTAAAAGATTTTGCGAAGATCACCTAAGTGATCCTCCCTCTTTTTAGACTTAACCACTAAATCGTCCACGTAACACTCCACAATTTTGTGCATCATATCTTCGAAAATCTTTTGCATTGCACATTGATATGTGGCCCTGACATTTTTTAAGCCGAATGACATAAATTTGTAGCAGAATATCCCTTTTGGGGTGCGAAATGTCGTGGCTTCTTGATCTTCAGGCGCCATGTGAATTTGATTGTATCCAGTTGTGCAATCCATGAATGACAATGCCTCATATCCAGTGGTGGCATCGACCATAATTTCCGTAACTGGAAGTGGGAAGTCATCCTTGGGATATGCTTCATTCAAATTGCGGAAGTCCACACAAACTCATAGTTGCCCATTTTTCTTCCTCACAGGGACAATGTTTGCTATCCATGTAGGGTATTTGACTTCACGAATGAACCCTGCATCGATGAGTTTGTTTACCTCAAATTCAATTTCCGGGATCAACTCTGGCCTGAATCGCCTTTGTGATTGCTTCTTTGGACTCACACCTTTTTAATTGCTAATCGATGGCCGACGACTTTCGGGTTAAGACCTGGAATTTCTTTGTAACTCCATGCAAAGACATCTTTGTACTCAGAGAGTAATTTGAAGTACTCTTGTTCTTCCGCTTGGGTAAGAAGAGCACTAATGTATATAGGGCGTGGGTCTTCAAGAGTGCCAAGGTTTAACTCTTTTAACTCATCTAATGTTGCTTGCCCCCCGTCTTCAAGTGTCTTGGGAGCTTCATCAGTTTTTATTTCCTCGTCGGGATTTGGCACCTCTTCAGTTTTCACATGGTTCGTGGAAACAATCTCCTTATGTTCCTCTATAGCATGGTCTGACGACTCATTTTAGTTAGTGAAAACCACAGTGCGAACTCTTGCCTTTAAAGGTTGTTTCTCAGTGATATCTATGTCTTGATTTCTTTTCATGCGAGAGGGAACAACACTTTTCGACTCATCATTTTCCATGACATTGTCTTCCCTTTTCTTTATGCGACTAAAAGCTTACTGTCTTTGTTCTTTTCTAGAGGCATTTGTCATGCCTACGCAGTTAAAGACATGTACTTTTTGTCTTAAGGGTTGCGAACTTGAAGTTTCTTTCACCCTATGGTCACATTCTCCAAGCCTATCGAACACTGAGACATGATTCCTCATAGTAGATGGTTGAAGTTGATCAAATACAGAAGTTCTGGGTGTGGGAACATCGTTCTCACCTTCACCTTCCTTGAGTTCCTCGGCGGTAATGTACTGTGAGGAAGAAGCGTCTACTTTATGCCATACACCAATTTTGATTGGTTTGGGGAGCTGAAATCCTAGGCTTGCCTTGGATTCTTGATAACTAGAGCCATAGTCAAGCAGTTTCTTCTGAGTATCATTGAGTCCGTTAGGTTTAATGTCTATGACCTTACCCATGGGTGTTGGGTTTTCAAAGTCATATCCTGCCTTTGCCAATAGCTTGTATGCATTTTGGCCGAACTTTGCTTTGTTAAGCTCTTTTGCCTTAGATGACTCTATTGATAACCTACAAATTCGGCTTTGTGCGCCTTTACCCAATGGTACAGTTGTTTTACTCTTCAAGTTTTGGAAAGTAGTGTCATCAATTGTCTTTGCTACCTTACCATCAAGGTTAACCTCTCGACACACAAAAGGTGAGTCTCCCTCTTTGCGACGTGATTTTGGGATGTATCGCAAACTAGGAGTTGACAACTTTGGCTTTTCTTTTATGACGAGCTGAGAGACACTCTTTTTGTCCACTTCTACCTTTTGTTTAGACTTCTCCTCAACAGGAGATGTCTTTTTGTCATTTGAAACCAATGCAATGCTCTCCTTAACTTCTCTTTTTCCTGTTGAAAGGACGTGGGAAGGTAGTATCTCACTTGACGTCTCTTCTTCTTCAAAAAACTTGGCGTCAGCAAAGTAAGAATCTGCTTTGCTAAAGGGTTTAATATCCCCATTTATCTTCTTTTTGCCTCCACGATAGTACTTGAGACATTGATGGAGGGTCGATGCTACCACACCATTCTCATGCAACCAAGGGCGTCCTAGTAACATTTTGTATGACGTCTTTGTGTCAATCACATGAAAGAGAGTTGATGACGTTAACTCTCCCATTGTGAGTTCTAGGCGTAATATTCCTATTGCACGCTGACTGTCAAGGTTAAATCCTTGGATCACTATGCGACTGCTAGAGAGTTCATCCATCTTGATTCATAACTCTATCATAGTGGATTTTGGCATGATTTTGACAGCAGATCCACCATCAACTAAAATGCGACTCACTTTTTGTTCACGGATGTACCCTGACACAAACAAGGGTCTATTGTGGGGTTTTGACCCTATCAACAAATAATAATCTGTGAACGCCAAGGCTGCGTTGCACGACACACATTTTGTGTCATCTTCTGCAGGTTCTCCAGCATTTTTCACCTTATCGGCATACAACTCTAGGTGTTAAAGTGCAAGAGATAACCGTTGACACATTTCTTTAGGCAAATGAAAAATTTTCCTCCATCCCATGCGTGAAGGAAGAGCATCCAAGACAGTAGATATTTTTGGATTTACTATCACCTCGGATTGTTGTACAACTGATTTTGTTGATGTATCATCATTAACTTGTTCCTCCTCACTTTCCACAACGGAAACCATATTCGCCGTAACCACAGTAAAGTAGTCTTCCGGGAAATATTCCTCCAAAGTTACAGGAGACAACGACTCTTGCTCAAGCAAATCAATAGGGAGGACCTTTTGCTTGCTGGCCTTTTTTGCTTTCTTTTTACCCTTTGAATGCTTGGATTTCCTCTTCTTTTGTTGCTTTCTTTTGCGATGAAAAGGTTGTGGTTTAGGATTATGCACTTGTTTCCTTAGCCTTCTCCTTGTCACCAATGTCCACCCTTCGTCATCATCTTCATCTCGGGAGTTAACATGTGTTTGGTGTTCAACCTGAGATGAGACTTCGTGTTGAATAGGTTTACTCTCAACCAGTATGATCACAGGCTCCAAACTTCCAAATTGTAAAGTTTGAGCCTGAAATGATGGTTCAGTAGCTACCGAGGCATGATTTGATGTCACTGGTTCGTCGACATCTAGCTCGATTGTCCCATCCTTTGCCAATTGCATAATTTTCTCCTTAAGTGTTATACATTTTTCAATAGGATGACTGATCAACCTATGATATGGACAATAATTGGGATCGGATGTCTTATTCATCTGCTCAGGGCGCTTTAACTCAGGCAACTCGATGATTTTGTTTTCCAGTAATTTGTCTAACATGCCAGACAATTCAGAGTCTGGGAAAGGGTACTTCTTAGCTTGAAGCTCTTTCAAAGTGGGTTTATCTTTCTTGACAAATCTCGAAGATGAACCCTTACTTTTTTCTTTTCT